AAAAAAAATAATGCAGTGATCTGATTCATAATGCAGGTTTTTTATTAGTAACATAATTAGTGAATAATTTCGTAAAATGAATAAATATATGCCAAATAATAATAAAAGCTAATAAAATTTAATACACAATAAATTAAAACTAAATTTAAGTTATTTGTGAAATTTGAGCATATATTATTACTGTCTCTTATACACATCTCCCTCAAAATTTTTGGCCGGAAAGGACGTTAAACTAATTATTAATTTGGAACGGCCTTATTAATCAAAAGTTTTTAAGTCATAGTAGATCATAAACAGTTGCGTACGCTGTGACACAAGTTGCAACTAATACACAAGATCAAGATCACAACATTCTAAAGTTGATAGTTGTATTATTATTATTATTAGCACAACATAACGCATGTCCCAACATAACACAGATTCAAAAATAAACACAGCCGCTTATTTATTATTGCTTGTTTATTTGTGGCATAAATACGATTGAGAATTTTTTTTTATAATAAAAATATTTTACTCTAATTAATTTATGTAAGAGCACATGAGCCCGTTATAAATGATTGAATTTTACTGTAATAGTTCAAGATATTGGCTCAAAGATTGTTCGATTGTGTTATTTTGTTATTTATTAATTTTCTATTTTAACTAGGGTGGCGTCAGGAATCAAGTTGGCACGCCCTTTAATATTTTTTTATTTTTTAATTTTAAAAAAAGAATTAATAATTATTTTCTTTGGGTGTTATTTTTTTTTACATAAATAATAAATTAAAAATTACCATCATGAGGAGGTTTCTCATTGAGAAAATTTTCCTGTGAACCTAACTACATCACCAGATGTAAATTCGGGAATCCATTTTGGAACTGATGGATTTTTGGAAAAAAGGAAATTATTTTTAATTTCATTGTGTATTATTTTCTTCTAATAGTTTCTTTTATAATAAAATTATTACTTTCTCATTCAACAATTGAATGAATTACACAAATTAAAGTGAGTTTTGCTGGCATAGTATTTATTTATTTATTTTTTTTTATGTAAGGAAATAGATACTTTTTTTTTTACTAATATTTTTCTTAACCAATTTTTTTTTTCTTTTTCTCTTTTTTTCAAAAAAAAAGAGATATTTATTAAATTTTTTTTTAAATGAAGTCAATATTTCTTCATAAAAAAATAGAATCATTTTTTTTTATGATCAAATTTTTTTTTTCAAAAAAAAAAAAATATATATATATATTAACCTGCCTCCGTTAGAGAAGCTAACTGCATCTAATGCTTGAAGCTTGAAGCTTGAAGCATATACTTAAGTGTAGACTTAAACATAAGTTTCAAGCTTCAAGCTTCAAGCTTAATATAAAAATGCTGGAAAAGTTTAAACTATATTTAGGCATCAAACTAACCATATATTGAATTTCATGGTTAGTACGATCAACAAATTTATTAAAATAATACTATAAACACATTACACAAGCTTTTCGGCATTATTATCTTCAAGCTAAATACCCTTTCAATTTCATTGGTTGCTTACGTCCAAAGTTAATTTAGATCTTAATTTTTTTTGTTATGTTACAGACTTACAGTAGTTTCGATAGTTGATCGTGTAAAATATAAATACCATCTCAATTTCATTGATTGCTTACGCTCAAAATTAATTTAGAAAAATTTTTTTGTGTTACGTCACAGTAGTTTTAATAGTTGATCGTGTAAAATATAAATACCATCTCAATTTCATTGGTTGCTTACGCTCAAAATTAATTTAGAACTTAAAATTTATTGTGTTACGTCACAGCAGTTTCGATAGTTGATCGTGTAAAATATAAATACCCTTTCAATTTCATTGGTTGCTTACGCCTAAAATTATTTTAGATAATTTTTTTTTGTTAAATTAATTTAGATTTTAAATTTTTTTGTTACGTCGCAGTAGCATAGCGGACATGCTCATATCACCTTGCCGATCATTTGCTGATCACTAATTCCAGATTTTAAAAACTTATTGCAAAATCACAAATATTTTTCAAATAATGTGGCAAAAAAATAATGGAAATCTAAGTAAAAACACTAAATTATCATATGACTTTAATTATGTAATTATTAGCACAATTTTTAATAATATCATAAATATATTATTTGTATATGATAATTCACTAATTATTGCCGATCATCAGACAAAAATTGAAGTGCGAAGATGAATTTGCGAGTGCGAAACTTAAGAATTTGCACAAATATTCTTTATATTATGTAGAATCTATAAAAAAAAATAATGCAGTGATCTGATTCATAATGCAGGTTTTTTATTAGTAACATAATTAGTGAATAATTTCGTAAAATGAATAAATATATGCCAAATAATAATAAAAGCTAATAAAATTTAATACACAATAAATTAAAACTAAATTTAAGTTATTTGTGAAATTTGAGCATATATTATTATGTAAATTTTTTTAGCAACGGTATTTATATTAGTGATAATTGAATAAATGATCAGCAAATGATCGACAAATGATCAGTCAGTATTGTGATAAAATAGGAATGTCCGCTATGCTCGTCGCAGTAGTTTCGATAGTTGGTCATGTAAGATATACATAACCTCTCAATTTTATTGGTTACTTACGCCCAAAATTATTTTAGATCTTAATTTTTTTTTTGTTACGTCGCAGTAGTTTAATAGTTGATCGTGTAAAATATAAATACCCTTTCAATTTCATTGGTTGCTTACGTCCAAAGTTAATTTAGATCTTAAATTTTTTTTCGTTACGTCGCAGTAATTTCGATAGTTGATCGTGTAATCTCAATTTCATTAGTTACTTACGCCCAAGATTAATTTAGATCTTAAAATTTTTTTTTTTTATGTCGCAGTTTCGATGGTTGGTCGTGTAAAATATACAGTAAATACCTTCCCAATTCTTTTGCTTTTTTTTTTTTAGGTCTCTTTAAGCGACTCTTTTAAACACACGTGTATATATTGCCAAAAGTTAAAATAATAAAAACCTTTATTGATAAAATTGATAAAATTTGAATAAAATTTGATAAAAATTTTATAACGTTCCAAACTACATAACAAATAATAAAAATTTTTATATTTTTTTAAATCTCCTAATTTAATTCCTAATCAAATACTATACATTCAATATCACTTTCATTCCTTGATATTTTTACTTTTTTGTTCTTACAAACAAAACAAGTTCTCTTACACTTACAATTTAGATATTTTATCTTGATTTGATTAATTTTTTGACTTAAAAAAATTGGATTATAATTATTATTTTTTGATAAATATAAACTAACACATTTTGGACTTATATTACTAGTATTAAGATCAATAAATGGATTTCTCAAAAATTTAAAATTAAAAGGAAGTGAAGCATAAAAATTAGAAGTAGGATAATCAGAAATAATTATAGTACAGAAAACAAAATGTGGTAATTTATCATAACGTTTCTTTTTTAAACAATAAGAATAAACATCTATATTAAAATCGTTACTTGATAAAGTATTACAAAAATTATGACCAATAATAATAGACTTATTTGAAGAATCCAAATTACTTAATACAGGAATTCCAAAGAAAGGGATACCATTTGTCACCATTGAATTAAGTTTTTGTTTTAATGGAATACTATAAAATTCAAGAAGATTTTGTGGATCATAAACATTTTTAATTAATTCAACACTAATTGTATCCGGAAGGATGAAATTAAAATCTTTATCATAACCAATAATCATCATCTTAATTTTTAAATTATATCTACGTTTTTGAAAACTTTTTTGTATACCATGAATTATAATACTTGGTTTTGTATTTGGTTTTCTTAGAATTTGACAATTAAAGAATACTTTCTTTGAATTCGCATTTGTATCAACAACTGTTGCAAAGATATCACAATCAGATTCTTCATCGTGAATGATTTCTAAAATATTTTGTGGAATATTTTTTAATTCAAAATTTTTATGCCTTCCAGATTCATTTAAATAATAATCACAATTCTCAGTACTAGTATAAAGGATTCTCTTTCCAATAGATTTAAAGGCTTGTTTACGTAAATCATCGAATAAGAGATGAAAAATATTTAAGGGATTTTTAAATTCAATACACTCCCAATTTTGATAATTTTTCAAAGATTCGATCCAATTTTTTTCATCAAAATTTTCATCATCAGGATGTTTACCTCCAAGTAATCTTATATAATTAAAAGAATAAAATTTTGAAGATTTTTCACCAATAATATCAGTATCATTAAAGTAAACTTTCCCTCCTAATATAATTTCAGTTGGAATGAATTGACCATATTCTTTAGTAATTTTCTTAAATCTTTCCCTAGGATTTTTTGAATTTATGGCATCAATCACATCGTTTTTAAATTCATCAGTTAATTTTAAATTTTCTAAATTTTGTTTGCTGAATTTTAATGACACTTTACCAATTTCTGTATATTGATAAGCTGATTGGATTTCATTAATAAAACTTTTATCATGTAAATTTACAACTGATAATCCAAATTTTGCAAAATTCGTTATGTTATTATTACCATTTTCAACATCTACAAATAAATTTGTTTTCTTCATCCAATCTTCTTTTGATTCAAATTCAATTCGACCTTTTTTATATTTATTAATTTCTTTTAATTCACAATTATTTATTATAAAAGCTTGTTTTTCAGCTATCTTAATTCCATCAATACTCATGGTTCGCCCATAATCTAACTTGAATTGATTACTTAAAATTTTCCAATAATTTCTTTTTAAATATAAAATATTTTGACCTTCTTTAATTGTTATAATATCTTTTAAAAGAAAATTCATTTCATCTTCACGTTCTATTTCTCCAAATTCTTCATCGTTTTCTTCTTTTAAATAGATCAACATATCATTGATAACATTATGTTCGATTAATTCCTTACGAATATCGGATAAATAATCATTTGGATTTAATCTTTTTATTATAGATTTTTGTAATGATAAATTATCTATAATTTTAATAAATATTGTAATTTTTTTAATTTTTTTTGAAGACATTTTTTTTTTTTAAAAAAAAATAAAAAATAAAAATAAAAAAAATTCAGGGAAAAAATTCAGGGACGGTTTAGTATTATTTCGATTACTTATTTATATATATATTGTATATTTACTTATTTATAATATTGATATGAAAAAAAGCCACACCGCCCACGGCTGATACATGTTACACATGATAATCTCTTTTTTTTTTGATCCAACAATTAAATAAAGTTTTACTTTTGAATCACCACATAATTCCTTATCCTAAAATAGATAAATGACTTTATTAATATAAAGTATTTTTAATATTTTTAATTACAAAACTTCCTACCTAAGACTAATGTATCCTATTAAGGACGAAGAGATTTTACAACTTGAATGAATTAAACTCCTAATATAGAAAAGTAAAGATAGAACGTCATGAACGCATATAACATAACATTTTAACTATGATGGGATCGATTTTTTTTTTTGAAAAAAAAAAAAAAAAAAAAAATGGCCTGATGTTTCGGGTGTCGATCAACAAACAGAAAAAAATTCTTTATTCAATAATGAAGTTTTTAAAAGAATGGATTGATGAAAGAATAAACGAAGATGATTTTAATTTTCTTGATTATAATGAATTTAATAATTTAGAAATAATTGATAAAAGAGTTAATGGAACTTTAAAAAAAGCTAATTGGAAAAATCATAATATTATCATCGTATTAAAAATTTCGAAGAATTTAAAAATTATTGAAAATGATTTTAAAGAATATTTTATTAAGGTATGATAAATGAATTAATTTTTTATATATATATAATTGTTTTGTAGAATTAAGATTTTTAATATTATATACATTTTATAAAATATAGTTAAAAGTTTTACGTAGAATTGATCATTCAAATATTAATCGTTTTCTCGGGTTAACGAAAGGTCTGTAATGATGAGTGTTACTGTAATTTAGAATAAAATTTTTTGTTGCATTTTATAATATCCGGAATTATTTACTAATTAATATCAATAATAATAGACCCAAATGGTAATTATTTTTCAGTATTGGAATATGCTAACGAAGGAAATTTAAGAGATTATTTAAAAATTAATTTTGATGCTTTACAATGGAATGTCAAATTACAAATGGCACTTGATATTACTCGTGGATTAATGTTCTTACATACTGAAAAAGTAATTCATGGAAATTTGGTGGGTAGTATACTTTATATATACATATTTTATTTTTTTAAAAAAAAAAATTTCTTAATATTTTATTTTATCCTTAAAGCATTCGTACAACGTATTAGTTAATGATGGTAAAGTGATGGTTACGGACTTAGAATTACTCAAACAAGCGACCAAAATTACATCTGAAAATATAGTTTATGTTGAACCTCAATATCTTCATAATTCAAGTTATAAACGAGATATGAAATCTGATATTTATAGTTTAGGTGTTCTTCTATGGGAAATATCGAGTGGGCGTCCACCATTTTCTGAATGTATACAAAAAGTATTTGGTTTAACTCAAGTAAAGAATAAACTTTTAAATGGAGAGAAAGAAGAACCAGTCGCAAATACACCTTCAGAATATCTACAACTTTATCAAAAGTGTTGGCAAGATGAACCAAATTCGAGACCTGAGATTAATCAAGTTTACGAAATTTTATCACGAATAAAATTACAATCCGGTATTGATAACATTAGGGTAACGAACGGTAATATATCTGATAGACACACTGCAAAAATTACTTTGGAAATATTTAAAAGCCCAGCGCAACAAATAATTAGAAAATTGAAGTTGAATCATGGGATAGTATTAAACGGATATGATATAATTTCAAGTTTACAAGGGGTGGTTGTTGAAGACGGGGAATTAAAAGTGAATTTATATGAAGAATCACCTTTAGTATACACGTCTATTAATTCTGAAAATAATGATTTACAAATAGACACATGCATCAATTTTCCAGTTGCAGAAATCGTTTATAATGGTAATTTGTTAAAATCCTTTTTAGAATATACGAATGATGAAAAGAAATTACACGAACTATGTGGTGATTTTCTCTCAAGAAGATTCTTAGCCGGTGGTCAATTATTTATCGAGGATTTTAATTCAGTTACTACAACACAAGCAAGTATTTTAAAGTATTATTTTTTCTGTGTATATAATTCAATTAAATATTCTACAGAAATCCAACTTAGCAAGTTATTCACCTTGAATCTTTTACCAAAATTAATAACATTGGACGGGGAAAGGATAAATACTCATGAAGAATTAATCAATTGGATGAATAATTTGTATCAAAAGAATATGGTTAATATTATTTCTTATGATAATCTCATTCCCATTTCTCGATTAAAGGATGATACATCATTGATTGATGGAGATTCTGAAACTTTTGAAGAAAAACAACCTGGAATTATTGATTTTAATGAAAAGTTAGATTTTGACGATTGGACTGAGGAAGTAGTTGATGATAATTTAATGGTTTGGGCCGAGGATTTTAAACTTTTTCATGGATTAATAATTAATAATGATGGAGAAATAGAAATTAGCGAGAAAATTCCTATTTACATCAATAGAATTCCTGAAGCCAATCCACGTGATAAAACTTATTTAAAAATTGTCAATCAATCAACGGAATTTGATTTTAATTTAATCTCCAATAATATTTTTTCAACTATAAATTTAGATACTTTTCCATTCACAAGAAATAACGTAATTAATAATAATAACAATAATAATAATCATGAAGATTATAATCATGTTTTAATCAAATGTGAGAAATATGAAATTTTCTTAGATATGAAACGTATGATAAAACCCACATATGAATTTGAACAAGTTATAGAAGATGCTCTTAATAATATGAGACCATTAAAAGCTTTACAACAAGTATTTGATGAATATGGTCATTTATTTTCACGAAGAATTGTATTAGGAAGATCAATTAAAAATATTATACCAAATTTCCCTTCATCTAATACATTTAATGATATTAATGATATTGATCAAATACTCGAATCATTAGATAATTTAAATATTAAATTCCTTTTAACACAAAAAGAAAGTACTATTGAAAAGGATGATGTATGTAATTGGATTCAAGATTCACAATATTTAGAAGTTATTGAATTTGATCATATTATCCCTTTATATAAAATTCTTAAAGAGGAGCAACAAAAAAGAATTGATGATTTATCACAAAATGATTATAAAATATTAATGACAGGAATTACAAATTTAACTGATTTAAATAATAATAATAATGAACATTATAAACGTGTAAATTTTGATTTATCATTAGAAAAAGAAAATTATGATGTATTTGGATTAATTATTTCAGAAAATAATACAAAATTAGAAGATATTTATATTAATTTTGGATTATATGATTTTAATGGATTTTATACAATAATAAAAAAAGGTGAAAATATTATTATTGATATAACGAGATGTCATATTTTATGGTTAATTATAGGAAATCCTTCAAGATCAACAATTTTTAGTCCAAATAATCGAGATTTTGAAATAAATTATTTAAAGAAATCAATTAAATTAAGATCTAATATATCAAATTATAAAATTAAAACTTTTTTTCCTTTATATGAAGGTTATACTGTTTTAATTCATGAAAATCATTCATCAATTAATTATGAATATAATAATATTATTAAAATAATTGAATGGAATGAAAGATCTATTAAGATTCAAATTGAATCAAATTTTAAATTTGAATTTAATACAATTAGTGATATCAATTTATCTGATCATAATTCTGATCCTGTGATAAATCTTGAAATTGAATTATATATTTGTGTTATATCTACAAATTATAAAAATTTAAAGATCGATAATGATATAGAAAGAGAATATCCTTTGAATTTAATCGGACATATTTTAATTAAGGAAAACAAATATGATTGAAAATGACGAAGGTATTTTATATATTTTTATGTAAATTAGTTAAATTGTATTTTAAAAATTAATTCTTTACTAATAATAATTTGTTAATAATAATACATTAGTAGTTGTCGAAACCGATAGTGATGAATTTTGTATCATGCGATACTGATGTGGTACCAACGCTCAATTACCGCAAAACCGAAATATTTTATTTATTTTTTGTTTATTTGTCTTTTTTTTTAATAAAACATGAATTTATTTATAAACAATACTTTAATTTTTAATTTTAAACTTAAAAATAATAAATATAAATTGTTAATTATTGTAATCGTAAAAGTTGTTAGGACGACAAGAAAAAGTATTCGAATGGTAAGGAACGAAATCTATTCGATATCGGAAGTAAGGAATTTAATCGATCCAATCATGCCCGATCGTTGATTGTTTCGAATCAATGCTCGTGCGTTGTGTGTTGGGCACTTGGGCTCGATGACTCGATCAAAATTGTAATTCGGCCCAAAATTAGAATTTTTTAAAATCTGGGGGTTCGACATACGACAAATGATCACGACTTCACGAGGCGATTTAACGTGATGTCAATCACGCATTTTGAATACCCTCGGAAGAATATTTTTCACAACGGTAAATCTCTCACATGAAGCCTTCGATCACTATACTATATATATTATAATATAAAATGTCAACATATGAATATATTTTTATTGCACTTGTCCATATTTTAAACATAAAATTATAATGAAAATTTATCTCGTTCATCTAAATTAATTTTCTTTCGTCTTTAGACTAATAAATTTTTTTCAAAATAAACTCAATTCCTTGTTGAACATCACCAAAGATGAAAATAATACATTTGGCGATAACCATTTGCGAAAATACAAATGCATATAACCATGTATCTAATGTATAAAATCACCAAAAAACTAGTACAATTGAAATTTTTCGTTAACTTACAATTTATATTAACTAAATTATGCATTTGTATTATTAAGAATCTCAAACTATCGTTAAAATCTACTTTCCTAACTTCTGATATATTATTATTCTTCTTTTTCTTAGTTCCCCTATATACAAACATCATCCCACGAATATTCTCTTTTTGGTATCTTCTTTTTCTTTATTCTTTTGATACCTTTTGAATCGTCATCCACTACGTCGCGCTTGTTACCCTCTTTTTTTCCCACCTGAAGATTTTGTTAGTCTGCAGAGCAACTAACGTTAATACTATGATATTCGTTCGTTCCATTCTTTCTCCGTAGGTTTTTTGTTTCCAGAACTCTACCTTCCTACTATAACTCTATAACTATGAATCTTCGTTTGATGTAAAATTTTCCTTTTATTACCTTCTTCCACATGACTACTTAATTATCCTTTCAAATTCATTAATTATTTCTACTACCTACACAGAGTTGGTATACTCATTTAAATTTTTGTTCGGTCTGACCTATATTCATTCATCAACTCGGTCACTTCATTCTCCTGAATCTGTATTACTTCTTTCTCTTTCGCATTATCAATCGTTGTTGATCCGTTTTTTTTGTAAAATCTTTGTTCGATATATCTGGTATAAAAAAATTAAAATTTTTCTTTTTCGTAGGGATTATCCACGTTTCACTCACATCGGATCCTTCCAACCTTTTGTAACCGCCCATCCAAGATCCTCTTCGGTTTTAAAATATGCATACAAATACTGTGTTCCTTTGTCTTAGCGAAAATAAAATTATATCTTCGTATATAAATCTGTGTACGAAAGGTGTTTTAAATCATCAGGTATTTTTGGTACGCAGTCCACTTAAGATCACGTCTCTCCGATAATTTTGTGTTCGCCGCGAACCAACGTGGTATATAAACATTATCGTTGACTTGAGAAACTAGAACGCCGTGATTGATATTTGTATTGTTTCTTCATACTGAATTTATTTATTATTCCGGAAAGTTCTAACTTTCTTCACCATTTCTGCATTCTACCTTGCTGATACGTCTGGCTAAAATGTATATTAAATTGACTTTTTAAAATAAACATATTAATAAAATTAATAATATATTAATTTGTGAATCACATTTAATTTAAAACGTGTATTAAAAGTAAAACCTGATTCTTCGTTGATATGAAGATAACGATCTTCCATGTATTACGCAATCTTCCCGGGACAGGCGGGACACGCCCCAGCCGGAGAACGAAGCGTCGGTGTACAATATCGTCTTTGGTTCCTCCAGAATCAGAATTCGCCCGTTCCATAGAAGTAATTTCTTGATCCACCATTCCAATTGCACGATGCTTCCTTGTGAAAGTTCGATAATACTATTCCAGCCTTGCTTCTTCAGACAATATTTCTGTCCAGCAGAAGGGAAGTAATTTCTTGATCCACCATTCCAGCTTCCTTGTGAAAGTTCGATAATACTATTCCAGCCTTTGCTTCTTCAGACCAATATTTTTGTTCAGCAGAAGGGAAGCAATGTCTTGATCCACCATTCCAGCTTCCTTGTGAAAGTTCGATAATACCATGCCAGCCTTTGCTTCTTCAGACCAATATTTTTGTTCAGCAGAAGGGAAGCAATTTCTTGATCCACCATTCCAGCTTCCTTGTGAAAGTTCGATAATACTATTCCAGCCTTGCTTCTTCAGACCAATATTTTTGTGGCACGAGAGTACAATCTGGCTGGGAATACAGCATCCATTGTTGCCGTAATTTTTCCGATGAGAGGAAGCTAACTTGTGAATTGGGATATCTTCATTGAGTTTGCCTTTTTACATTCTTGTATCAGATCTTTTATCTTGTGCTTTCGTAGTTTGATCATCATTATCCTGGAATTTATCTGGAATCTTAGAAAATCGGCTACTTCGAGAAGGTACTAGATTTTTTTTACGAGGATCTATTAAAAGATTATGTTAAATTTTCTTTAAAACAGAAGTGATTACTTTTTTACTTACATTTTCTTTTTATAGCCATTATTTTCTTTTTAATTTCAATTTTATCTATTCGGATGATGGTATTAATTAGAGATCTCGTAATAACTTTAAAATCAATTTCTCTAAATTTAATCTAAAATAATGATACCATTTATTCTAACTCGTGTTCCATCATTAGGTTAATCATAGTAGCCGAAATTAGAGTACCGCTGAAACCGAGCCTAATCTTAAACTTTTTTTCGTAATTGATTCATCTCGTTCACAATTCGGAACAAATGATGTAGAGTAGTCAATGAATTTCACTACAAAATATAAAAAATAAATTTAGCTTATGATTATCTGTTTGATTTCGTAACTGAAATTCCTACCAAATTGTCTTTAATTCTATAACCCATTGCAGTACTACTTTTCGATTTTTCTAACAAAGGCTCTAATTGATTTCAAATAATCAAAAAATTAAAATCGTTTAATTGTATTAATTTAACTGATCGGGATCCATTTCTTACATCATAAAGTAACGATCTTTTTTTTAAAAAAAATTATCCATTAGGTTAATTTACCATAAATATTTAACTTTCCTATCAACATCATCTTCTTCAGAATTAATATACGTATATACTAAAGGTTTACTGTATATAAATTCACTCTTGCATGCTTGATCGTGTATCCAGTTAAAATTAATCCATGATCCAATTTAAATTTCTAATGCTTATTGTGCTGCTAATAATAATAGAGGTATATTGTATAAATAATAATTTGTTTTTCAAATATTGGGTATAGTAAAAAATAGTACAAAAGTATAAATATAACTCATATCTCGTAAATTAGGTTATGAATATACATAAAAGCTAATTACAACGTTCTCAGATTCTAATGCAAATTCTGTCTCTTGTTTTGTTATTAACTGAAAGAAAACGAATATGTCTTTATGATAATGTTAAAATATAATTATTTACCTTTTGGATAGTAAATACTTTAATTCAAGGACCGTATGAGTCTATTAATAATAAAATATACATTATACAGTATATTTTTTTTTACACTCATTAGTTTTATAATAAAACATGATAAAGAAATTATCGTTACGAAAAATATTATTACTATATTTCACATACTTTATTTAACGGGTGTTCCAGTAACGTAATAGCGTAAATAATACAATATCTGATGAAGTTATAATAAATTGATTTTCACTCACTCAATTTCTAAAAAAATTAATTACCTCGTTTTACAAGATTTACAAGATGAAACAAATCGTGATTCTCAACTCAAGTTTTTTTTTTTTGGTAACACGCATTTCTTTATTACTATTTATAGTTCGATCTCACGTCTTACAGTAATAAAATTGCGACGTACCAAGTACCCAACGAAAATCAATCTTATGCGACAAATTGTAATACTTCAAAAGCATATTAAATGTCCTACAAGTCCTACGCTTCGGACAAAAATATTTTTAAATGATAATCTCTTATAACAAACGATTATTTTATCCGATATGTGAAAAATTGAAAATATCATTAGAATGACACATTGTAACAATTGAAGATGATCGAAATATTTTATATTTAAACATTAGAATTTTTAAATAATCAATGTAACTAAATTATGGAAGAAATTTTAGAGTTCGACGAGTTCAACGGAAATGGAAAATTCCTAAAAAAAAATGTTAAAAACTAAATTATCGTACTGCTGATAACTATATATATCTGATATAGAACGAGTTTGAAGATTAAGTTCGATCGCTAATTTTGACGCGAAAAAAAAAAAAAAAAAAAAAAGGAAATTTGACCGATCAACTCGAACTCTGATATTTATAGGGTTAAGTACAATCTCTTATATCTTTTTTTTTTAAACTATAAGTTAAATTTTTATGATTTGTATTATAGGTGGTATTAACGTATCAGATTACATTTTACTCGCTGTAATATTATTATAAACCCCAGTATCCCTCTGGATCCCCTCGTAAATAAATAGATGACGCTTTTTATAAAGCTGCTTTGAAATTATTTTTTTGCAAGATATACCAGGTGAGAAATTCCGGATTGATTTTCTTATTGAATAAGCTAGTGTTTTCCATTCATTCATATTTCTATTGTATAACTAAAAAAAGGCGAATCAGAGAGTAAAAATCGGACGATTATTACTTAATAGTTTGAGCAAACTAACGAATTTCAGTACGATATAAATGCCCTCCGCTTCGTCGACGCGAAAATTATAGAAAATTTACTGTAGTTAGGTCGTATTTTATGTGTAAATATAATATATATATATATTTTTTTTTTGAATAATAATAATAATAATAATAATTTCTTAAAGTTTCAAAAAAAAAGGAGCGGTGTACTTGATTTTATTAAATTTATAATTTTAGACATAAAGATATTCTTCTCGCGAGAGATTTGCTCTTTAGTGTAGGATTGTAGAATATAAACGCGAGAATAAGCTCTAATGACAATTGACCAGCTTTAATACCATAACCTTCACTACAATAAAAGGTCGCGTCTAAGTATATTTATATAACCCTGGCTGCGACAATCACGGAACCTTTTTATTGATTGAAGAAAGGTGGATATAAACAAATATTTATGATGAGTTTAAATGTCATGATATCTTTTATCTATTCTGAAAAAATCACCTCATCACATATATTCTGAAACCAGGGGACCGAGGATTTATAAATTTCCTCATTTACCATTCTTTCTTATAGGAAAGTTAACCTTCATCAATTATCATCAAACACACGAAAGTGATTTCCCATCTATTCTTTTCTTATGATATTGAACCAAAGCCTGTTGATCGTTCATTATTCAAAGAAGTAAGTAATCTATAATACAATTACATTTAACCTGATCATAGAAAATTATGTCAAATAATTTCATAATTAAATAGAGTATATACAAAATAATATCTTAATTTTCTAATAATTCTTAATATCTACTGCGCATGAGCGCGTTATAGCTTTACCATTAACATTACCATCGAATTGTTGAACTCGGAATTTTGATCTGTAGTTATAACATTACCATGTAGTTAATGATTCACAAAATAAAAGCGAGTCCACAATGGTTTGTTGATTTATTTTTAGTGATTTGAAAATGGAAATAATTAAAGAAAATTTTAATCCAAACATTGATGTAATTAATATATCGTTGTTGATCACTAACCATGTGAATAATTAATCACGGTCGATCGGGTTACTTCTTAAAATACTAATCATGTGAATTGCGGGCCGAATTATTAATTATTTGTTTATGATTACGAAAATGTGAATAATCAATTGTATAATAGAGCGAATTCAGTTTAAATGAAATTACACAAAGAATTCTTTATATATAAAAATTACTAAAAATAATTTTTTTTTTTTTTAAAAAAAAAAAAAAAAAATGATGCATAAATGCATAAATGCACAATAGATATCTATCATACTCATGTTGTGTATTCATTTAATGAAAAATAATAAAAGCCAATTATTTGATATATTATCCCTTAGATGGTTAATCATACGAATTGTAGGCCACATTTATTATTTAGTATTTTTTTTGTTTTAACCTTGTGAAACACGCCATATTAATCATTGTTAAATTATATATGCAGGAAAAAGTTTTATTACCAAATTTGGAAGATAGATAGAATAAAAAGAATTCTAATAATATTATACAAACTTCCTTAATTAGAAAAGTTATTATTATTCTATCTTTAACCATAAAAAAAAATAATTTCGATTTTTTTAAATATTCCTAAAAAAGTCAAATTGTCTTACCTGAAATCGAATACTGAAACTATCTCAAGAATAATCGTGATAATAAACTAAAAATGCATGATATATAAATGGTAATATTACAATGATAAATTACTAAATTAGAAATTCATTCAAGTTAAACATTTTTATACATTATGTATGTGCGTTAAACAAATGTACCCGAATTTCTCGTGTACAAATGTTTTTATATTATGATACCAGACACTTTTTTTGTAAATCGCGGGCTGAACCGAACTTAATGTAACAGACCTCCCCGAAAATACATATAAGGTCTCATTGTTATTTTCTTTAAGTAAACAAAAATATTTACGTAAATCTTTTCTTCCTTTTTTTAGATAAATATCGACTAGAGACTTTATATATAAATCATCTATCAATCTAGGTACTACTAGATGATATTGTAATAAAGTTAGCTGATTTCAAAGAAATGAATACTGATATACTGATACGAAGTAAATGTATACAAATCTATAAATAAATTTATTGTGACCGAATTATGACCAACTTGTTTATTTTAATATATAATAAGAATAAGTTGTTTCTTATTTATCTATAGTATAATCCATCGGCTTAAAATTTTGATTAACGTTACATATTTCTTTTAAATCTTTTTAAATCACTTTGTAGGTTAATTTGGTCACGTAAAAAAAAAAGAGAAAAAAAATTATTATTTTCTTTTTGAAAAAAAAAAAAAAAACAAAAAAAATGCATTCTAAAACCAAAATTTTTATTGAAACTATTGGCTTAAAAAGTTCTATTATAAAAATCAAATTTTTAAATCCAGATGAACGATTATCCAATATTCGTAAAGAACTTGAACATGCTAATATTATTAATAATATGTTAGTATTTTCAAAAGAAATAAATAATGAATTTTTTGAAGTGGAACGAGAAGATGAAGAAAAATTTCAATTAAAAGAAATTATTACGCCTTTTAAGACTGCTAAAAAATTATATTTAAAACGACTTACTTGGAATTTCTTTAATAAACAATATAAATTGGATTATGGATGTACTATAGGTTTTGGTGAAATTAGAAGAGCCAATAAAAGGGCATTTGAAATGAATGATTCTATATTAACCGAAACAAATTCTAAAGGGATTAAAAAAGGTCAACTTAAGTTTGAATCAAAAGAAGATTGGATGAAGAAAACTAATTTATTTTTTAAAGATTATTCTAATATAAATGACCTTATAAATTCAGGATTATCAGTTGAGAGTTCACTTAATACAAATTTTGATAGAGAAACTTACCAATATATAGAAATTAGTAAATTAAAATTGACATTTAGTAAAAATAATTTAACATTAACTGATGACTTCAAAAATGTTATTATTGAAGCCATAAAATCCAAAGACCCTAAAAATTTTAGGGAAATTATTATGGAATATGGACAATTCATTCCAACTAACGTAATTTTGGGGGGAAGAGTTTATTTTAAAGGTACTATAATGTCATCAATGTCACCAGAAAATTCCTCAGCTAGTATAGATAGTATGGAAATAGAAATAGAAAGCGACCCCGATGGCTCAAAAAAGAAAACAAATTTTAATAGTATGAGATTTCTCGGAGGAAATCATCCTAAAGATAAAAAATTTAATGAAGAAGCTTGGATTAAATCATTAAATAGTTATCATACTTGGGAATGTATAGAATATAGAAAACCGAATAATATTTTTCAACTTTTACCCGATGATTTACGTAAAGAATCTTATAAATCTATCGGGAAAAAAGTTCTTTATACAAATATTATAGATTATAATTATAGATTATATGAACCCGGAATGTATGGAACTTTTGAATTAACTGATGCCGTTCCACAGAATATCTTGGAAATAATTCAAGATGAAGAAACTGATTGCGACATCTTTGCAGCAGTCGTTAATGTTGATAAAAATTCAAAAGATGTTTTCTTTAACTGTCAAATTTTTAAAGAACAAAAAGCGAGACCAAGTATCATCATTCATGGAATTCAAAAGAAATTTCGTCAACGTATATATAATTTGAAAATTGCTTTGATGATCGTCGGTTACGACACAAAATTCAATTTCATTCTTTCAGACATTGCTAATGTTGAATTAATAAAAATTAATTATGAATCAAAATTTGAACGTGAATTTGATAATATAAAATTACAACGAGAACTTGGTTCAATAATAGCAAGTGGAATCCCTTTCTTTGGAATTCCTGTATTAAGTAATTTTGATTCTTCAAATAATTCTATTATCATTGGTCATAATTTTTCAAGTAATCAATCAATAGATATATTTTCTTACAATGCAAAAATTAATCGTTATACTAAATTACCAGATTTTACATTATATTTACTTATCCTTTCTGATTACTCTAATTTGAATAATTACGTATCGATACCTTTTAATTATAAAATTTTAAAAAGTCCATTTATTCCTTTACAATCTTCACAATCAATTATTCCAAAATATATTAGTTTATATTTATCAAAAAAAGATAATGATAATTATAAACCGATTTTTTTGAAACAAGATAATGAACAAATTAAGGTTAAATACGTTCATTGTAGGTGTAATCGAACTTGTTTTGTTTGTCAGAACAAAAAAACAAAAATATCAAAAAGTGAAAGGAATATTAATTGTATATTATTTGATCCACTTATAAGGTAATTTATATTATATTTTATTTATTTTATTTAATTATTTTATTATTTATTATTTTCATTTTTCGTTATTATTATTATTATGTAATATATATATATATATTTATATTTTTTCAATAAAAATATTTTATAATTTATCAATAATATTTATAAATAAATTTTTTAAAAGTTATTTTTTACGTTATTTTTTAAAATTGTGTTATAAAAATTGAAATAATCTCTCGAACGAAAATAAACTATTGACACCCCTTTGGACGAATTGAATAATTCAAAGTCATCAATGGAATTTGCGTAATATAATTATGTAGATCTTTCCTTTTTCGGATAATGCCAGCGGGAATTTCATCTCTTAAATTGAAGATATGATTTTAAGAAATTTCGAGATTTTTTCCGATTTGTAAATCCGCCTGGTTTCTAATTTGTTTTCAATGAAAACAAAAAAATAAAGTTCAAAATATTTTTTTTTTTTTTTTTTTTTTTTTTTTTTTTTTAAGAAACAAGGGGGTCACTACGCAAAAATGAGCTATACCGATTATATTAATTTGGGGATTATAATAAATATTAACAATTTGGTAAAGTTGCGAAGCTTGTACAACTAACATTAAATACCCACGTCATACCCAATGTCGTAAGTTTTAACAATATTTATATGATTTCTATATTAGGAAAAACATAATGACATGAAACATTTAGGAACAGTGTAACACCAAATATTGACTTGACTTGTTAGTAACACGCTTTCACACCTGTTTTCCGGTTTTATAAATTGTTTATCGGTATAGACAAATGTAACAAAAATAAAAACAATCCAAATGTTTTTGGGTAAGATCTAAGATTTATTTTAAGTGACGAGAGACCTTCGGAATATATAAAAGCATAAAATTTTTTATCAATTACTCATCTTTTTTTTATAAAAAAAAAAAAATCGGCTGATTTTTAAAATGTCTGATTTAGTAACTGTAAACGTTATTATAGTTGACGTACGAAGTTTTTTAAAAAAATTAAATAAAAATGAAAAGTTATCCAAGATTCGCGAAGTACTTTCTTGCGATGATAAATTATCATTTTTAAAAGGTAAAGATGGTAGTATCGTCGAAGATGAAGAAGAATTTATATTAAATGATATTTTTACAAAAGATGCCCGGATGGATTATTCAATATATTTAAAGAATAAAACTTATTGGGATACTTTAAATGAAAATCATAAATTGGATTATGGACGTATTATTACTGATGATGGATCTAAGACGGCTAATAAAGGAGCATTTAAATTGAAAGGTTTTAATGAATTAAAAGAAATTAATGGACACAGACAAGGAACAATCGAGATTAGTTCAAATGAAGAGTTAATAAAGAAAAGAAATTTATTTTTTAAAACTGACGGTAGCATATATAATTTTATAAAATTAGGATTAACACTTGATCAAGCACAAGGGAAAATTATTAAAGATGGGAGAAAATTAGTTTATAATTTTACCGAAGTTGCTAAAGCATCATTGAAATTAAGTATAGATAATTTAGAACCAATTAAAGAATTTATTGATGTAATAAAAGTTGCTGCAAAATCCAAAAAATTAAATCTTAAGGAAATTACTGAAGATTATGGTCTATTTATACCAACTGAAATTATTATGGGAGGAAGATTTTATACTAATGAAACTGAAATATCCTCAGAACAAAATATAGATAATACCTTTAGTGCAGAAGTTAATGTAGATGCGAATGTGGTCAAAATTGGTCATGGTACAACAAAAAATTCCGCACAATTTCATAAGGTTAATCACATGAAATCACTTGGAGGAAATTGTGATGGCGTTTTTGACGAGGATAAGTGGACGGAATCTTTAAAGGATTATCGAAATTGGGATTGTATAGAATTTAATAATCCTGTTAGTATTTTTCAACTACTACCTTTTAATTTACGTAAAGAACTTTTCGTAGCTGCCGGGAAAAAAATTCTTTTTACAGGAACTTTAAATTGTGAATATTATTTGCATCATCCTGGAAGTTATCGGAAGTTTGAATTATTAAGAAGTAATGACATTCCGAAAAACATTTTGAACATTATTCAAAATGAAGATGCTGATTGTGATTTCTTTGCAACAGCAATTGATGTTAATCATTATTCAAAAAATGATTTTTTTACCTGTCAAATTCTTAAAACAGATGAGGACAAATTAAACCCGAGTATTATTATTCATGCTATTCAAAAAGAATTTCGACCACGTACATATGAATTGAATATTGTTCTGATGGTGGTCGGTTATGATATAGATTTTAATTTCATTACAGATGAAAGTGTTGAGATAATAAAAAAGCAATATGATCCAGGAAATAATGAAAAGTTTGACCAAATAATATTACACACCACATTTAGTCTAAAGGGTACAAATATTCCTTTCTTTGGAATGCCTGTTTTAAACAGTTTGAAGGATTCGAATGATTTTCCTCCTGTAATTGGACATAATTTTCATGATATTGAATCAGATCATGAACTTAAAGTTGGAATATTTTCTTATTGTTCAAAAGATAATTGCTATCTTAATTTACCCAATTTTACATTTTGTACACTCATTATTTCAAATCCTGACGCTTATATATCATTACCTTTTAAATTTAGAATATTGAAAAAACCTTTTATTAATTTAGATTCACGGACAACATACGTCAACTGTTTACAATTATCAAATGAACATCGACCAATTTTTTTGCATCAAAAAATGAAACGAGTTAATATTGAATATGTAAAATGTAGTTGTAATAATCCTGATTGTATTTGTCACGAAAAAACTAGAAAAATATCAGGGAAAGACAATTGTAGTTGTATAATTCTTAATTATGAAAAGGTAAAAATTTGATTACTTCAAATTGATAAATTTGTGTGGGATATTAATTTCTAAATTATAAAATAATATATCATTACGTAACACACCCTTTAAATCAATTTATTGTTCACCCGTTGTATTTTTTTTTTCTTTTCTCTAAAATGTATTATGTTATACTTTTATCCTTTCAAATCATTTTCTTAAATATAATTTGAAATATTATTATATAACGATAACGTTAACGAACTAAAATAAAAAAATTAAAGTTATTATCAAAATTCAAATTAACTTTGAACGTGCCTTTGATTTTTTTTTTTTTTTATAAAATTAATAAGACAAGTTTTTGTCCCTTACGATAATAAGAAAGGTTCTATTTCGGTTCTCGAACGAAATATATCTTTTTTTTTTTTCAAAGTTGCCGAATATGCATGTTATAATCCTATTTATACTTGCACCCATATTAAATGGGACGGAGAAATCTCATATCCCATCCCACTCATATCCCATTCCAATTCCAAAATCTTATTCCATATCTAGTCCCAAATCCCGAAATCCCGTCGAATCAGGGAAATTTGGAAATTTGATTACACAAGATTCCAAAGGGAAATTCCTGTGCCGATCGTTTAATTTTGGCCGGAATTAGTGGGATTACAAAAAATCACATTATTTTTTTGAACTAGTGCTTCGATCTGGACATCCGGGCTACACAAAATAATCCGGATTCTTTATCCGTGATCAATTATATTTAAGCAGTTGCCTTTGCAGAACAATAAGTTCATATTTATCCCGATCATTAATTTCCGCCCTATGATTACATGATTTGTTTTCTGTTTGGCAAATGTATCGTTCTTATACGATCAGGTGCTATGTTCTTATACGACGTATATGTCACATAATATAGGTCGTATAAGATAGTATGTCGTACACGTATAAGAACGATACATTTGCTTCTGTTTGATATAACCCAACAGCACCCAGAAAAATTCTTCGATCACGTGATCTGTTTTATTTATCACATCGTCACACCCTGTCCGAGTTTCACTGTTTATATTTATCCGAGGGACTTAGATTTTTTCAAGTAGATGAAATTCTATTTGTCACGTTTTATTCATCACATCCTAAATTCTTCGATCACGTGTCAGTGCATAACGCCGGCCGAGTTCGAAGAATTTTCTGGGTGCCGTTGGGGTAGTTTTCTGTTTGGGATCCATTATCAGGTGTCATGTGTCAGGCATTCTGGCCAACTTTGAGGACGTGGTTTTTTCCAATCCATAGTTTTGCGATTCCGGTCCTTTTTCAGCCAAAGGCTTCAAAAGATGTAGGCTAACCCAGTTTGAAGTCAGAAAAAAAAATATACTAAAATTGAGAATGATGTAGGAAATTAGATATTAGATAAAATGCTTACTGCATTAATTAATATCATATTAACCCGTTTGATCTGCCCTAAAAAATCAATATCATCTGTTTGGGTTGCTTTATCCAAAGAATCTGTTTGAGTTGCTTTATCAGAAAAACTATTATCCTCTGTCTGCATTCCAGTATCCATACTATAGACAAAAGCCCTTCGATTTTTTGCTTGTTCATAAACAATTAATTTATTGCGCAAATATTGCTCAATCCGATCACTTTTTTCTGTAATTTCTTTTGGCAAAACAGGATTGCGCTTTATTATAAGTAATTGATCAAAAGCTCTTTTGATTAGACTTGGTGGCATTTTATCTATAATAGGCTTATAATCAGGATAGAAAGTGGGTATTTCCGCATATAAGTCAATGGTCTCTTCAATGTCTGTCATTTAGTAACGAATTTACTACATTTAATCTGAGTAATGTTCAAGTGTTAAAATCCCCAGAATGCTAAAAATAATGATTATGAAGTAACATAAATAAAATACATTCATCAGATAACACCAGTGTCTAAAATTCACTTGCGGAGCTTGCGGAACGCATGTGATTTTTTTTTTCCGCTTGTAAATTTAAAATACATATGCGGATTCTGCAAGGAAATTTTTGGATATTTTACAAATTCCTGCATATAAATTTAAATATATGCAAATTCCGCAAGTAAATTTAAATAATCCGCATTCAACCTATTTTTTTTTGTTGCGGGTCCGCAAGTAAAAAAAATTTTGAATTTTAGACACTGGATAACACCCGCATATGACAGTAACGTAACCAAAGGTAACAACATATACACAGTTGCCTGATGTGGGTGAACTTTATTGATATATGTTTTCAGAGCATTATTTTTTCACTACAGTATAATAGATATTGCTGGTCACAAGTGCAATAATCTTGGCGTGGTAAACAAATGGTATTCGACACAGTAAATAATTTATGATCTCATAAAGTATCAAGCATTTTATTACAAAGAAGGAAAACTCAATATATGTAATATGCATTATAATCTCATATCAGAAAAATAAAAATGTGCAATTAATAATATAATTAGATGAAGCGAAACTTATACAAAATAAGTCTTACAACAATCAAACTACTACACAAATTTTTTTTTAACAACATTTGAGACGCATGATAACCTATTGATTAACGCGTTGTTTACGTGGCTTAAGTGCATGTTCCATTCGAAAATGCTTCGTAAATCTGTGATTATTAGTAAAGGTTTCCGTACATTTAGGACAAGGAAATCTAGTATCATCATCCGACGATGATGAACCTGAATCTTGCTGTAATCATTTCATGAAATAAATAAGTGGTAAGATTAAAATAAAATAATCAATGATAAATCGTCACAACATATTTGCGAAATAGATTCTTCAATCATCTCAACATCCAATTCGAAGCCTGGAAGAATTTCTTGACCGCTAACCCAGGTATTCATACTTCTCCATCCATGTTCATAATGACGTACAGTATTATTTTCGTTCTATCTCCATGAATGGATATTTCCCTGTAGTTGGCCGTTATTATCTTGCCCGATGCTAACCAGAAATCCTAACTCCACAGACGTTCCCGGTGCAAAGAATTCATTTCTAAATCTATCATCAAATGCTTGGAATTCTGATTCACTTTGAATGAAATCAACCTCAACAACAAATATTGGAGTAAAGGGTTGACCTTGAAAGGTCCAATTTTGTAATGCATTCAAGCTACGGGTCGTTTGTCTTGGTGCGAATGTAACGTCTGGTGCTCGAAGTGTTCTCGCTCCTCCAACGTTGAAGTCAAACCCGCCTTGAGACGAAGTGATTCTCCCATTTTGGTGAGTTTCAATGTTCCAGTTACCTAACTGTCTTACAATCTCGGCAACAACTGCTGCTCTAGCAATAGGAACCTGAGGCATTGGGATTAATTTTCCGTTTTTGTATTCGAAGAGGTTAACTGGTTTTCCGTCAAGTTGTATAGTGCGGGTCTTAAGTTGGTCGTTTATATACTCGAACTCTTTGAAGGTATAAACCTTCTTGAGGTCTATATTTTCAAGATCTATTTTCTCACAGTAAACTTTAAACGCGTTCGCCATGGTTGTAGGAATAAAGTACGAAAAATTTTTTAATACTAAAAATTCGTTTTTATGACTTTTACGTTACACAAGTGAATGAGCCAATGACTTACTCCTGTTGAAGATGGAAGTAATCCCCTTACTAATATAGTATCTGATGTATGACGTAATAGCGATCAAGAGAAGAACTTGCGTAGTCCCTCTCCCTCATAGTCACTCACGAAACTGCATCGTAACAAAAAATTTAAGATCTAAATTAATTTTGAGTATGAGTAACCACTAAATTGAGAACTATCGAAACTACTGCGACGTAACAAAATCTAAATTAATTTTGAGCGTAAGTAACCAATAAAATTGAGAACTATCGATAAATATTATTAAATTATTTTACACGTATATAAATATGCTATCCTAACTCCCTTTAAACATGATTTATTTATTTATTTATTTTATGTCAAGCAGGCAGCGTACAAAGTATTGCTATTTTACAATACAATAGGCGTTACATCAGTTTCGCTATCATCTAGTAAAAAAAAAAACCAGACCCTCACTTCTAAGAAAAAGAACCTCCTACTCTCTACCACGACCAATAAAGAATAGCAATAGAACCCAATAAAACAAAAATAAGTAACCATGGAACCCTAAAAAATAAAAAGAAAATAATAATAATAAAAAGAAATTCTATTGCTAAGTATAGTGGTTCTAATTTTTATAAGTTGTAGGTGACTAGACATGTGAAATAAAATGGTCGTTTATTCTATAGTGGTGATCTATATTGTTAGATGATAAAACGTCTACATGATTGTAAAATGGTCCACTATGTAAAAAGTTCGAAAATAAGTATGGTTCTTATAATTCCTGAAATCAAAATGTGGGGCGAAGTTCGTGTGGAAGCGTTAGCGACACTGCGCGTCTGTTTACCTACATTTCTATAATTTTTTGCATAATTTTTAAAATCTCTCTTGGTAATTCCATTTTCAATTTACTAGGTTTTCCATTCTTTAATACGAACTTTCCAAATATTAGACTTGATGGTATTACTACAAATTTGAAGGAACGGAAATATAACGCGTTCGATGTTTTTCTTCTTGTTGGTATGGATGCTGAAAATGCCGTAAAGGTCATTTGTCACATAAGAGCGTAATAGCAAAAGTGCATTGGGATGTATGGGTTCATTTCGAAAACTCCATCTAAAAGTGGGAAATGTTTCACACTGTCGTTTATACAAAGTGACAGTTTGTCAGCTGCGTCTGATAGAATACCGATTAAAGTGGAAGCAAGTGATTGGAAGGTGTCGCGAATATTATTGTATTGTGCAGGACTACGCCAAAGGTGATTGTTTGTTTCAGTATCAGCTTTACATAATAGACATGTCGTATGATTTTTGAAAAGTTTCGGAAAGTTGCGATTAAGTATATCTAATGTTGGTAGATTAAGCGTAGAACATTTAATTTTCCAAGCGGTGTCTTTGGTGTGTTGTGTACTTGTGGCTGTTTCGTGACCATTATAATTAAACCATTTACTGGTACACGACCAGTTAATAATATGTTGTGCCGTGGCTTCTTTGATGTCAATTAATGAAGGGTGATTGAGGTAGTCTTCTATCCTTTTGTAGTTGGAGATAGTTCCTATACATTTACGAACATCTTTGTCTATTGGAATTTCATTATTCCATGTAGTAGTAATCATTTGCGAAGGTAAATGTCTATGGTTGATACTCGTCAGTGTTTGATGAAGATGACCAACTTTAGCTTGAGCGTCAGCTATGTCATTAAAAGCGTTATTAGAATGAGCTTTGACTTTATAAAGCTTTATATGAAGGTTCAATTTGTCTATAATATAGTGTACAGTTGACCAGAGAATATTATTGTTAATTTTGTTGAAACGTCTCGGAGAAATAGAGATGAGATTGGACGATTTGTGAAAAGTGTCAATAGCGGCTTGAGAGTCCGTATAAATGTTTATAGAGCTGTTTTGCGGAGAGACGATCAAGGCGGTAAGAATGGCCATTGTCTCAGCCTTCGTAGAAGAAGGGAAGAATTCGAGTGAACCATTGTGGGTAATATTGACATCAGTTAAATTAAAAGTTGTCCATTCATAACCCATATAAAATCATTTTGCTTAGCTTCGGAATCATAAGATCCATCGGTATAGAAATCTATAAAATTAAACGAAGATAATAAATCAGATAAGTATTTAAGTTCGTTAATAATTTCTCTATTAACAATTAATTGATTTATTAAATTATGGTTGCATGATGAATTGAGATTAGAATTTGGTGGTAATGAAAGTAAGGGACGAGTCGAGGGAATATGATTATGTTGAATTAAATGATCATTATATGTTAATAGACGGTAATGTGGGTGACTAAATTTTAAAATATGAAATTTGTCATAACGATAATAGTAATTTTTTTTTCATGTTTAACGATAAGATGTTGATCAAAATACTATTAGAATATTTCAATTGAACAATCAATACATTTGGGTTTTAAGAGCCTACATAATAAGGGTAGTGAAGAGAGCATCCTTGACAAGGGATTATTGTGTTGGTTTGCGAACGTGGAGTATTATGATAATTTGAAGTATCCAAATTTCTATGAATCCAATGTTCTGCGTATAATATAGGAACTGTATTTGGAAAATGTGTAGCCGTAAGAATTTTTCCATAAATCACGTCCGTGATGGCAGGAGCCCATGAAGCAATCCATTTTGGTCTTCCTTGTAAATGGATAGGTTCGTCATTCAGTTTGTTGGAGGCGTTTTTGGTCGAGTAATTTGTGTTTTGAATAATAGGATGGTCGAGATTAAAATTTAATCTCCTTGTGTTATTGGTAAGAGCGATGAGGAATTTGTACCATCTCGGAGTTCTTCCGTACTTGTTTTGTACTCTTTAATCTTTTGATATTCATGGAGATACGCTGAACCAATTGTGATAATTTGGTCCAAGAACATGATACCTTTTTTTCAAACTATTAATATGGCTAAATAAATGTTTAGGATCAATAACATAATGAGCAATAGGGTGATTACCACCTTTGGTTTTGAAATTAAATTAGTTGATAACGACAAATTATAAAAACATAAAAAGGCAAATAAATATTCTGATCATGAAAATGAACGTAACGGAATATCAAAAAGGGAAAAAAAATCAATAGGAGATGTAGGTAGCCAATATTTTTGTTGGCTTAATAAAAATAAAAATTTCAAAGTATTTGATGTGTGAGGACAATTTGTTTGTGCGATGAATAAGGACACTTACACTTTTATCTGGTTGTCAAATATATTAATTATATGTGGATAAATTTATTTATTTATTTATTTATTTATTTATTTATTTTAAGGTAGGCCAGGAGAATACATTGATAATTTAAACTAATTAAAACAAAAAATTATAAAAACACACAATGTAGAATCATCGCTCAATAAATCGAGCCCTGACTAGAATTGTATAAAAAACTAATCTAAAACCCAGCCGAAATAGAATAGGTATTAATAGTAATAAATGCGCACACTAAGATCTAATTCTAGAAATGTAGGTAGCTATACCATTAAAATAGAAGAACGCTGTGGAAAAGCAAAGGTGGGTAACTCTATATGCAAGTCATTGGTTAATTGATCGAACATTGTATCACTATGTAAAAAATTAGAAGAAGCAAGAATAATAAAAATGAGATCAGCTCGATTGAAATAATTTCGTACAGAAACTGTTTGAGGACATATATATCCAAAATCTTGAGGTTGACGACGTCGGTTACTTTGATTATTACGTGAACGTTGATAGCGTTTAAAGCTATTTTTGTTGATGCCTAGCATACGTTTTTTATCTTTTCAAGCCAAAGATCTAATTTTCCATACATTTTTTTTAATTAACCCGGAGGAGACATCCATGAATTTGAGAAGCGCCTTAGTTGTGGCTATATGAGTATTAAAATGTACACGGAAACTTCTGTATAAATCTTCAGGCACATAAGATCGCAGTAACGTTATCGGTAATAGCCCTAATGTCATTTAATGACCAACAAAATACATTAGAATATTTGATCGTATCTGTGATACAAAGATTCAATTTGTCAGCATCCTTGTGTAGGATGTCTTGCGCTAAAATTGCCAGTTCCTGAAAAGCAGAACGAATGTGTGGTAATAAACTAGGACATTTCCATAAATCATGGTCGTTAGTTTCTGAATTATTATGACATAACATACAATTAATGTTATCTTTGATAAGATCCGGGAAGTTACGATTAAGAACATCTAATGTTGGTAAAGTATTGGTTGAAGTCTTCATCTTCCAACTGACATCTTTACTATGTTGATCACAAGTGGAATCGTTACATGAATTAAGAGAAAAGAATTTTGAAGATACCGGCCAATTAATCATATGTTTTTTAGTGGATTCTTGAATATCTGCCAAATTGTGATGATTGAGGTGATTATCAATCAAACGGTAATCAATAATTTTACCCATATATTTTCTGATATCTTTATCTAAGTTAACTTCGTCATTCCAGATCAATGAAACGTTTTGTGATGGAATACCTCGGGTATTAATATTGGTTGACACGGATTTGAATCGTCCTGATTTAGCAAGTTCATCAGCTCTATCATTATGAGCGTTGGTAGAATGTGCTTTAACTTTTTCGAATTTCACATTGAGGGAAAGTGTTTTGATGATGTGATGGATCGCTGACCATAAAGAAGTATAATTAATTTTATTAAAACGTCATGGTGAAATATGATGTAGTTGTGCTGATTTGTTAAAGCCGTCTATTGCAGCTTGAGAGTCTGTAAGAATAAGGATTGTTGCGTTAGATGGTAATAAGATAATTATAGCCGTTAAAATGGCCATGATTTCAGCTTTAGTAGAAGATGGTAGATGCTTCAAGGCGCCACGATAAAAGGCATTAAAATCGGGTATATTAGGAATGTGCCATCCAAAGCCCATATGGAATTCATTTGTAGAAGGAGAACGATTAAACGAGCCATCTGTGAAAATTTCAAAGTAGTTATGATTTTGAACGTTCTGTGCCAATGACCATAAATCTGCTTGTATAACACGTTCTTTAATAAGAGACGTGATTAATTGGTAAGTTTTATTAGCAGGTGAAGCATTATCTAAGGTGTCCAAAAGAGATGTCCTGGAGGGTAACAAATTATTACGGATTAAATAGTCGTTGTAAGCCACTATTTTATAATGTTCGTGGTTGTGTTTTATAACCTTGACGTTGTTTAATAATCGTCCAGGAAGCCATGAGGCGTATTGTTGAATATTATGTTTTTGTAGAGCATAAATTTTTATTATTCTTGGATAAGGAATTTTAAGGATACAATTGATTCTATTGTCTCCTACATAGTATAGAAAGTGTAATTTGCAGCCAGGACAAGGTTGAAGAAGATTAGGACGTGAGCGAGGTGTAGCGATAGAAGTATTGATAGGAATTTTAATCCAATGTTCAGCAAATAACATAGGGCCGCTAGGGGAGTAGTTTGTAGTCATAATTGCTCTTCCATATACAGCATCAGTAATATTTTGAGACCATGTAACTATCCATTTACTAGGACCTGTATGGTTTTGAACTTCGACAGATATAGGTGGAGGTAGGGATTGGAATCGATTCCCATTATTAGAATCGATTCTAAAATCGATTAATCGCGATTAATCGTTTCGCAAATACCGATTTTTTTTTATACTATTTATAATAGGTGTGTTTAAACACATATCACGTGATTACAAAAAAATTACAGTGATCGACGAACAAATTTCCGTTTTTGGAAATTTATACAACCTTGTGCGATGGCAACTTGAATTTTATTGGGAGATAAAATTTCCTTTTTAGGAAGTTTGTGTTCCGTCACGTGATTCGCGGGCGGAATTATGAATTTGGCCAAAATTAACTATTATGAACAAATAATAATTTACGGTCAAATTAACGAAACTGCGCCACAATAAGTAGATTCGATTTTTATTCGAGATTTGATTTAAAATCGATTCTTATCGATTTTTGATAGTTTCGATTTTAATCGAATCTTTTCCGATCCCTAGGTGGAGGTCGTAAGCGTTCCACACGTGGGTTTTGAATAATGGGCTTGTTCAATTCTATGTTGAGATGATTATTGGTACTAGATATGGTAAGATGGTTTTTGAGAAAATTATACCATCTAGGTATACGTCCTTGTTTGTTCTGTAAGCTTTCCTTAATTTTATTATATTCTTCTAATAAATATGCAGAGTCAGGTGTAATGACTTGGTCAAGAAACATAATTCCTTTGGAGCGTAGACTCATGATGTGACTATAGAGAAATTTTGGATCTATAATATAATGTGATATAGGTATAGTACCACCTTTAACACAAAAATTAATATTAGTATTAATTGAAATGTTATAATATCTAAAAAATACAAAAAGACTTTCTAAACGAGTAAAACTTTTTAAAGGGCGATCAAATGAAGTAAAAAAATCAAAAAAATTAAAAGGGAGATTATATTGATATTGTGATAATAACATAAGAAATTTAATTATGTTACTAGTGTGTGGACAATTTGCTTGTGCAAGAAATAGGGAGGATTGGGCTTTTAACTGATTGTCAAAGATGTTAACGATATGGGGATAAATTCTACTATGAATTACTAAATTGTAAGTATTATGCGGTAATTGTAGAGAATTTTTAAAAAGGGTTCCGAGTTTGGAATTAAGTTTGGTACAATAAGAAGAGGGTAGAAAAATGTGTTGTGATAAATATTCAATTCGCGGAATGATCACTTTGTTAATTACATAAATCACGTAATCATGCGTGAGTTTTTTCCTACGAATCAGAAATGAGGTATAATTAACCATCTTATTGATTTTTGCTATGGTAGTTGAATTATTACCATCGGCGTGAAGGTATACACCTAAAATTCTTGTGCCTTTGACCATCGGTTGGAGGTTGACATTAATTAATTCACTACCAAAGTGAAGTTGGATGGTGGTGTTGTCAGCATAGCGGACATCCCTATTTTATCACTGATCATTTGTCGATCATTTGCTGATCATTTATTCAATTATCACATAATATAATACCGTTGCTAAAAAAATTTACATAATAAATATATGCTCAAATTTCACAAATAACTTAAATTTAGTTTTAATTTATTGTATATTAAATTTCATTAGAAACATTTTAGCTTTTAATATTATTTGGCATATATTTATTCATTTTACGAAATTATTCACTAAATATGTTACTAATAAAAAACCTGCATTATTAATCAGATCACTGCATTATTTTTTTTATAGATTCTACATAATATAAAGAATATTTGTGCGAAGTTTTGAGTTTCGCCCATGCATATTCATCTCCGCCCATCAAATTTTGTCTGATGATTGGCAAAAAATTATGAATTATCACATATGAATAATGTGTTATAAAATATTAAAAAATTATACCAATATTTATATAATTAAAATTATATAATAATTCAATGCTTAGCTTATATTTCCATAATTTTTTTACCACATTATTTTGAAAATATTTGTGGCTTTTGCAATAAATTTTAAAATTGGAATTATGTGATCGGCAAATGATCGGCAAGGTGATATAAGCATGTCCGCCATGCTGTTGTTGTCGTTAACTTCTTTTTTATCATTGGATAAAAGAACGGTTTTATCCTTATTAATTTTGATATTAGTGAGTTGGTAAAATTCATCCGCTATTTCCAATTTTTTTTCCAATTGAATTAAGTCGCTAGCAAGCCATGTCATGTCATCTAAATATCCTAAAACTTTAACAGATAATTTTTCTCTGTGTCAATCTTCTGAATCATCATTAATATGTTTCGGTAATGAGACTTCGTAGTTAATACCTTCAAAAGAGGACTTATTGATTCTTTCAAACATGGGATCGTAATATATTACCCAAAGGAGGGGACAAATAGATCCTCCTTGATCTATTCCATTAATGACATTGTATTGATCACCTATACTATCTTGAAATAGGACGGAATTTTTCCTATCTGTAAAGAGATTTAGTATAAAAGTAATAAGATTGTTTGGAATCCCTATGCGTAAAAGAGCTCGTTGTAGTAAAGATATTTCAACTCTATCATATGCTTTCGAGAGATCTTGGATCATTATATATAGTTTCTTTTTTAATTGTTTAGCCGCAGTAATGTCCATACCAGATACACGAGGAACCTTGCGTATCGGTACGGTTATTTTGTTGAAGAATATCATTTGAACTCAAATAAAAGTTTAATCTGGCATTGATGATTTTGACAAGTAATTTTCTAAACGTATCTAATAGTACTATGGGACGTGTGTGTTTGATATCATTATCCCACCAAGTAGGTTTGGGGATGGGATATAGGAGTGCGTGTTGCCAAGATTCAGGGATAATTCCATTTTCTAAAATATTGTTGTAAAAGGAGACCAGTATGTCCAGAAAAGTAACGGGTAATTTTTTGATTAATTCATAAGTGATGCCGGATGGTCCCGGCGCTTTATGGTTTGGTAATGATTTAATCATCTGTTAAAGTTCAGAAAGTGTTATGGGAGCGGCTAATAATTTGATAGCGTCTGGATTTATATTTGATCTGGGTGAATAATAAGGTCGCCAGGATTCTGGCATTGGATTTAGACCATTGTATACCATCGGTGATTTGTTTGATGAACCTATGTTTTGAAAATGGAAATTAACTTTTTCATTAATAAGTTGATGATCGGTCGTGTACAAGATTCTTCATATTTTAAACGATCTAGGATAATTTTTTGCGGATTTCTTTCTAAAATTGAATTAAGTGCACGTTTTTGATTGTTCTTGATATCATCATTTCTTCTATTAATAAAATATTCTATCTGTTGAAGATTCCAGTCACTACGTTCTTTAGATATCATGTTATTAATATAATTATATGTGGATAAATAGTATCATGAACTCGTTTATTATAAAACTCTTTCAAATCACGTGATTCTGGATAAATCACTTATTCGGCACTTTGAGCCGAATAACTACATGGATCCATAGTATTTTTCTAAATTGAATATAGCACTGTACCATACATACATTATATCATACTTATTATCTATATACTCTTTTGTTATAAAGGATTTAAAATATTGTCAGGACTAGTTTGACGATTTTTTATATTATTTTTTAGTTAATATTAAATTTTAACCAAATTAATAAAGAATTTGTTAAAATAATGGAATTATACAGATAATAACAAATGCAATACCATATGTTCAATTTTAACATGACTTAAGCTATAAAAAAACAAATTTTATTGTATTTTAAATTATTATTTTTAAAACATAAATAAATAATGTTCATAGTACCTTTTAATAACTAAAAATCTCATTGAGATTATTCCAATACATAATTTATCTTTAAATTTTTAAAGTCTTAAAAAGGTTTATTCTTTAAATACTTCTAATATATCATTAATACTATCAATATCATTTCTTAAAATATAATAATCTAAAATTTGAATATCATATAATTTAAATTCTTTCACTATATCTTTCAGAGAAAACCAATTTTTTTTATCAGAAATTTCTGAAATAGCCAAATATTTAACTCTTTTCTTTTTCATAATATATTCCTTTATATAAGGATAAATATCTACATATTTTTCTTTCCTTTTAATTTTAATTAACAATTTTTTAATAAAAGTATTTTGAGAATTCTTTAAGAATATTTCTAAATCACTTTCATTAATTGAAAGACACAAATTCAAATAATCTAATTTAAAAGGAAGAATTTGTCCTAAATTTTGTAATATAATAGAACTAAAATTATTATTGTCATTATTGTCAATAGTGACATCAATTACAAGACAATTAAGACTCTGTTTAATATTATCAATTAAATTGAATACTAAGTTAATATTCTGATAATTTATCCCAAGGCCTAATAATAAAAATTTAATTTTACTACAATATTTTGTAACTGATTTAAATAATTGCGATGATTGTGGTTTATTTTCTACAAAAATTCCCAAATTTTCTAAATAACAACCAAAATGTTGTAATAGAAGATCTAATGGTTCAAATTGTGGTACTTTACGCAAAATTAAAGATTTCAGTTTAAATTTAAATGGTTTAGTAATATTAATAATTTGTTGAACAAATTTAGTATCTATACAATGACAATTAATAATATGAATTGATTCTAAAACATTTAATTGATTAAATACTTCATTTAAAATAATTATATTTTCAAAATTAATATGATAAAATATGATTGTGTTTAATGTATTTGAACAATTAGGATTTTTTAATGATAATAATGATTGGTACAAAGGAAATTTATTTGATCTAAATAATATTTTTCTAAGATTTTTTTGAGAATTAATAATTTGTGATAAACTGTTTTCCATTATTTGTTGGTGTTTATAGTCATTATAATATTGAAATGATTGACTAAGAGATGAAATTGAATTGCAATTAGAACTTAGAAATGTTAAAAATTTTGTTGAAGATTCAGATATTTTCAAAAGATCTAATTTCAATTTTTTTATATTACCAATGAAATTTGAATTTTGTAAAATTAATTCAAAAATATCATCAAAACTTCCTAATAAAACTTTTAAACTATATAAATTTACTTCATTTTCAATGAATATTTGAATCAATGATTTACAAATTAATTTTATAAAGTTTGAATTTTGCAAATTATTATTAGTTTCTGAAGTTCTAATAGTTACTTCCCAATATTCAATAGATTTACTAATTTTATTTATATCCAAATGTTTAATAAAACTAGGATATTTAAATAATGTATTTAAAGGAAATAAATCTTTATTCATTCCATATTGAATTAATTTTGTTTTATCATCATCATTTAAATTATATAAATAAATTTCAATAAAGTGATAATTTTTAGGAAATTCAATTGAAAATGGATTTTCCCATAATAATGGAATTGCTAAATTACACCATAATCTATTAACCAATATACATGAATATAGTGTTTTATAATCTTGATGAAAATATTGTAAAATTTCATCTAATAATTCTGGTAAAATCTTTGAAAATGCCATTACGTTAAGTGAAAAAGAAAGAAGAAAAAAAGGGTTTGGGCTGCAACTTCGTTTTGTCGCACAAGTATTTTATGCAACGTTTAAATTTCTTATTGGTTCCCTATTACAGTATACAGATCCTCATCACATGATGATCATCATTTTAACGATGAATTATTTTTTTAAATTATTATTTTAAAAAAAAATCTTAACGTACCTGCTGATTTATCACCTAAGTTATTACAGGTCCCTGACCGAACCAAAAAGATATCAGTAATAAAAAAAGGAAGACAGAAAAAATCGTATGACTACCTACCAAAATCCGCAGCATCCAGTATTATTTAAAAATACTTGATCAGGGGTTATGTAGTACTAAGAAAATCGTGACAGATAAATCAACTGATGAAAACAAAAGTCAAAAGAATTTAAGTCAAATAAAGTATTACAAATTACGATATACTAATTTCACAAAAAAAAACCTTATCAAAGCTAAAAAAAATCTGTCACGTTTAGATTATCCACTGTATAAATAATTTGGATTGTGTAATATGTAAACGCGTAATAAAATCGATCCATTTTTTATATATTCCGTCTTTTTTCCGTGAAGGCTCGTATTTCCGGAATTAATAACCTTATATCCCGGAATTAATCGAATTATTTACATTTTCCGTGAATGGATCCGGGAAAGGCACATTTTTACGGAGTTTTTACAGAAATAACGGATAAAATTTTTTATAGTGAAGGGAATGTGTCTGCGCCATCTATTCTATGGTCAGAATAATTTGGTTGGCTGTCAAGGTCACATGTACGTTCCGACGGCCAAATACCGATTAACATTTCATTCATAAGACGATTAATTTGCCGCGGCAGATCGTACTACCGCAGCTATCCGAACGTTAATTTTTTTTTGGTCTTTTTTTTAGACTTTTTTTCTTTTGGTCTCTTTTTAGACTGAATTTTTTTTTTAATACTATTTTTTTAGTTTCCCATTTCCTTTTAATATTATTTTTTCGGTTTTTTTAGACTGAATCTTTTTTTTTCAATAATATTTATTTTTTCAGTCTCTTATTGTTAGATCGGATCTTTTAATACTAATTTTTCAGTTTTTTTAAAACTGAGGTTTTAATAATTTTTCTTTCCAATTTTTTTTTAAAGCCGAATTTTTAATATTTTCATCCTAGTTTTTTCTACTTATAATAATCTAATTAAGGCCATTCCAAACATTTCAAACTAATAGTTAGTTAACGTCCTTTCTGGCTGAAAAATTTGAGGGGGAAGGGAGGGAATAATTTAAACAAACATGATATTTAAACATATTAAATTTCGAAGTTTTCGGTAAAATCGGAAATATTCGGTACACCCAATTTCAGAAAAGAGAGGGTGCTTTAAACATGTGAATATATATGTTTAAATTATTTTAAAATTTTCAAAAATAGGGGGGGGGAGGACGTTGAACTAAAAATTAATTTGAAGACTATGATCCTAAAAAGACCGCAGTCTTGTTGATTTATCACGTGATCGGTAAGAGCCATAAGAGACCGCGTCCTAGCCGTCCTATGTGGTCCGGTCTTTTTGCCACGTAGGCCGGAGAAGACCATGGTCTTTAAGATCATTGACCATCTTTATCAATCAACCTTTTATAGGTGTGTAAATAAACGTTATAAGCTAAAAAAATCAAAACAACAATTTATTTTCTCAATATCTAGACGTAAAATTTATGCTTTAACAATCCGGCTGCTATTAATGCAAGTTTAATCAATGCCATAAAATTTTATTTGATTCTTTAATTCTTGCTGAATCAAATAATAAATAGTAATAAAATTGGAGTATATTTAAGATCTTTATATTTTTATAATTTATACCATTTTAATAGTATGATTTTAAACTTTGTAATATATATAAATTTATTTAATTTTAAACCGAATATTTCCAGATAATAACAATAAAGACTAATTTTGAATTTGTTCAATTACAAACTGATTTTATTTATGTAAAAAAAAAAAAAATTACATGTACTCCATAATCAGTGTTGAACAAAAACTACATAATTTTACATTTTATTACGGTAATAGAACTCAAAATATATATAAGAATTAAAATAAAGAGAGAAGATGGATATTGCTTATTTTAATCAACAATTGCACAGTCTGAACAATTAGAGTTATAATTTTTTGAAAGAATTTTTGTGTAAGGATTAAGTATACGAGATGTATAAACAGCTTGCGGATGAATTATTAATGGTTTTCTTTTAGAAAGATTTGATTTTCGATAATTTTCTGCACATTCAAAATCAACATTTTTCCAAAAACGTAATTGATCACTTATTTCGGCTGCATTTGGTCTATTATTTGGATTTGAATCCCAACACCTTTTCATTAACTCAATATAAAATTTTGGCGCTTCTAATTCATTTAATTTGGGTCTGACTTCTTCACATATATCTAATGCCAAAAGTTCATCATGTGCGCGATCAGCAAAAGGTTGTCTTCCAGTTGCTATAAAATACATAACCATTCCAAAACTATAAATGTCCGCTGCTTGAGTATAAAGTTTTCCTCTTAATACTTCAGGAGCTACATAAGGCATAACTCCATATATTTTTTCTTCATCAATATTGTCAACTTCTCCACATAATCCCATATCTGAAATACGCGTGTATTCAACAATATCGCTAGTACTTCTAAAAAGAAATAATATGTTTCTTGTATGAAGATCATGATGAACTTTCCTTTTCTGATGAATTTCTTTAAGTCCATTAATAATATTATTTAATACTTTTATTTTATTTGTCCAATCAAAACTTTCATAATTTCTATTTATCCATTTATTAAAATCACCACCTTCTGCATATTGAAGAACCATAATATAATTTTTAGTATTTGGATTTTGAGATATTCCATGTATTCTAAGAATATTAAGACTATCAATTGAATATTCTTTGGCCTATTGAACAAGAAAATGGAATTGTTACATTTAAAATTTTTAAATCAATAATCTAAAAAGATGGTTTATATATCTACCTCATTTAGAAATTTTTCATTGATGTTTTGTGAATTATGTAAACATTTCAAAGCAACTTTTTTATTTATTTTTCTTATCCATTCCATTTTATTATCATCAAAATATAACGGTCCATCTTTCCATATTGCTGAATAAACTGTAGAAAATCCTCCTTCTCCTACTTCTTCAATATCATTAAATTGATTATATGGTATCCATTCAAATACTACATCATAATGATAATTAACTTTTAATTGCATTTGTTGAATAAAGTCAATGACTTTTTCATTGGTTGGCAAATTATAAAATACATATCTTTCATGAATATCAATCAACTGAAAAACTATAATATAGTCTTTCTTATTTCGAGATATTCCATACACTTTAAGAATAATTCCATTTTTATATGTTGTATACGCTTTAACCTATTAAAAATAAAAAAAAATTAATATATAATGAGAAAATTTTTTTAGATCAAAATTAAATCTCCATACCACATTCAAAAATTCTAATTCTTTAGATTTTAAGTATTTCAAAACAACTTTTTTATCTGATTTTCTTATCCACTCATTACCATTCTTATAATCATAATACAATGGACCACCCTTCCATGTTGCTAAGTATACTGAAGAACGCCCAATTTTGCTTATTTCTTTAACATCATTAAACTTACTGTATGGTATCCACTCAATTATTGTATCATTCCAATTATTAATATTTAATTGCATTTTTTGAATAAAATTATCAATTTGTTTGTTACTACTAGTCCAGTTTTTAAAATTTTTTTCTAGACAACTTATTTGGCAGGGCTTACACCATTTATATGCTATATTTGCGTATTTTTTTAAGCATTTTTCACAATATCTCCTGCTATATTCACTTTGAAGAATTATTATATAATCATTTGTATTAGGATTCTGAGATACCCCATATACTTGAATATTACGATTGTAAATATTTGCTAAATGTGTTCTAACCTATTTATAAAGAAAAGATGTTAATATTCGATATTTGAATTAAATTTATTTAAGATTATCATACCTTATCTAAAAATTCATTAATATTATTTTTTGAATTATATAAGTATTTCAAAGTAACTTCTGTATTTGATTTTCTTGTCCATTCCTTTTTGTTATCATCAAAATATAATAGACCATCTTCCCATATTGCTGAATATACTGAAGAAAAATTTCCTTTTCTTATTTCTTTAATATAATTAAATTGATTATATGGTACCCATTCAAATACTACATCATAATGATAATTAACTTTTAATTGCATTTGTTGAATAAAATCAATGACTTTTTCATTAGTTGGCAAATTATATAACCAATATGTAAATAATTTCTTTGCATATCTTTCGTAAATCATCTTATTACGATGAAAAACTACAATATATTCTTTTGTTTCTGGATTTTGAGATATTCCATATATTTTAAGAATAATTCTATCTTCATCTGCTAAGTATGCTTTAACCTATTAAATATAAAAAAATTAACATATAATTAGAATATTTTAGATAAAAATTTAAGTTACATACCACATTCAAAAATTCACCAGTGATTAAGCACTTTAAAATAACATTTTTATCGGATTTTCTTATCCACTTCTTACTATTGTGGTCATAATATAATGGACCACCCTTCCATATTGCTGAATACACTGTGCTTTCACCAATTTCTTTAACATCATTAAACTTACTATATGGTATCCACTCAAATACTGTATCATTCCAACTATTAATTTTTAATTGCATTTTTTGAATAAAATCATTAATTTGTTCATTTCCATTGGTCCAATCCATAAAAATTTTTTTGAAATTACTTATTTGACCATATTCTGTACAATAATTTTCTTGGAGAATCATTATATAATCTTTTGTATATGGATTTTGAGACATGCCATATATTTTACTATTACCAGCATATGTATTAACCTATATTTAAATATAAAAAATCATTAAAAAAGTTTTTAAATTAGATTTGCTAAAGGACTTCATACCTTATCTAAAAATTTATTGATAATATTTTGTAAATTGTATATATTATAATGTAAACATTTTAGGGTAACCTTTTTTTCTGATACTCTTTTTAATTCCATTTTATTATCATAACATAATGGGCCATCTTCCCATATTGCTGAATATATTGTAAAGTAACTACTTTTATATATTTCATTGATATCATTAAACTGGTTATATGGAATCCACTCAAATATTAGATCATCCCAATCATTAATTTTTAATTGTATTTCTTGAATAAAATCATCAATTTTCCTATTTTTACTGGTCCAATATTTAAAATTATTTTTTAAATAATTTATTTGACATGGCTTTCACCATTTATTTTCTATATCTGTATATTTTCCAATACACTGTTTGCAATAACTTTTGCCATATTCTTTATAATATTTATCTTGGAGGACAATGATGTAATTTCCTGTATCTGGATTTTGAGATATTCCATACGTTTTAAAGATAATATTATCCTTATTTGTTAAAAAATTATTAACCTAACAATATGCAAAAAAAAACTGTATATTATAAAATGTATATATAAATTAAATTTACAAAGTTCATTTGCTCATACCTTATTTATAAATTCATTGATTGTACTTCGTGAGTTATGTAGGCATTTCAAAGTAATTTTTTTATTCGACTTTCTTATCAATTCATTTTTACTATAATTGTAATGCAATGGTCCGTTTTTCCATATTGCTGAATATATTGTAGCAATATCATTTCTACCCGTTTTTTTAACTTTATAGAACTGGTTGTATGGTATCCATTCAAATATCATGTCCTGTAAGTTATCAATTTCTAATTGCATTTTTTGAATAAAATCATCAATTTTTTTATTATCACTAGTCCAGGTTTCAAAATTTTTTTTTAGATAATTGATATGACAAGGCTTACACCATTTATACATTATATTTGTATATTTTTCCATACATTTTTCACAACATCTCTTACTATATTCTTCACAATATTTACTTTCAAAGATTATAATATAATCATTTGTATTTGAATTCTGAGATATTCCGTATATTTGAATATTATGTGTACTTGTTGAATGATTTCTAACCTATTTATAAAGAATAGATATTATTAACTAATATATGAATTAAATTTATTAAAAAGGTAATATACCTGATTTAAAAATTCATTAATATTATTTTGTAAGTTATATAGGCATTTTAAAGCAACTTTTGTATTTGATTTTCTTGTCCATTTTTTACCATTATAATATAATGGGCCATCTTTCCATATAGCAGAATATACTATATCATAATCATCTTTTCCTATTTCTTTAATATCATTAAACTGGTTGCATGGTACCCATTCAAATACTCTATCAAATGGACTATTGATTTTTAATTGCATTTCTAAAATTAAATCATTGATTATCTTATTTTCACTAAAATTTAATTTTAAATTATCCATCTGGCATGGGTTACACCATTTGTATTTTATATTTGTATATATATCATTACATCTTTCACAATAATTTTTATTATATTCTATGTAATATTTATCTTGAAGTACTATAATAAATTTTTTTGTATCCGGGTGTTGAGATATTCCATACATTTTACAATTATCAGTATTTGTTAGATACGTTTTAACCTAATAATTATACATAAATAGAATTATTATAATATTTTGCATTTAATTGTATTCATAAATATCATACCTTAGTTAAAAATTCATTAATATTAGTATTCTGTAAATGTTTTAAAGAAACATTTCTATTAGGTATTCTCCTTAATTCCATTTTACTATAATTATAATTTAACGGTCCATTTTTCCATATTGCTGAAAATACTGTTATTGTAAAATTTCCTTTACCTATTTTTTTGATATTTTCGAATTGATTATATGGTACCCATTCAAATATAACATCATTAATTTGTAATTGTACTTCATGAATAAAATCATCAATTTTTTTATTTTCACTTGTCCAGTTTGTAAAATTGTTTTTTAAACAATTAATTTGACAAGATTTACACCATTTGCACTTTTCTTTTGCATATTTTTCTCCACATTTGACGCAATATCCATTTTTAAATACTATAATATAGTTTCTTGTATCTGGGTTTTGTGATATTCCATATATTTTATAGTTAAAATCAATGGTTGTTAAATATGCTTTAACCTATTTGCATATAAAAAGAAACATTTTAATATTCAAAAATATTTTGTAATTTTATAAAATTATATTTATACCTTAGTTATACATTCATCAGCATTAGTAATTTTTAAACATTTTAAAGAAACATTTCTATTAGGCGCTCTTTTTAATTCCATTTTATTGTAGTTATAATTTAATGGACCATCTTTCCATATTGCTAAATAAATTCTGGCAAAATCAACCTCACCTATTTCTTTAATACTCTTAAATTGATTAAATGGTATCCATTCAATTATAATATCATTATGATTATTAATCTGTAATTGCATTTTTTGAATCAAATCATCAAATTTTTCATTTCCACTTGTCCAGTTTGTAAAATTATTTTTAAAATAATCTATTTGACATGATTTACACCATTTATATGTTATATTTGTATACTGCATACTACATTTTTTGCATATTTCATTCTGATAAGCCTTAACTGGTTTTTTGTAGTATTGAAATTGAATTGCTTTGATTTTATTCTTTATAGTTCCTGTTTTTTGGTAAAAATTAATCCGACCTTTTATAGCTGCTTCTTTGTATTCTTTGAATACTTCATAATTTTAAATAAAGAATTTAGTTAGTTTAAATTAAATTATATGTAATTATTATGATTAATATACATGGGTGTTTTAAAATACTTATCACATGACGTTTAACAAAAATTAATGTAAATATAACAACATTTTTGTCTATACTGGAGGTTTACTTAGTACCGAAGATGGTTTGGATGTCATTTTTGTCTTATTTAACAAGTCTTTTTTTTAATTCCGGCAAACATTAAATGATCGTTATAAAGTTTACCCTTTTTTGAAAATCATGTTTGGAACACCCGTGTACAAAAAGATGCAAAATAGAATTAAATAAACTTACCAACTAAAAGAAATTACAAAATAATGTTTCAAATAAAGAATTTAGTAGTAGTTTAAATAAAATAAAAATTGAATGCAGATATTATATAATATGTAATAATGATAGAATTAAATAGATAGTTAACCATCTATATTAATAAATAATTGAATTTAGTTAGTTTAAATTATACCTAAATATTATATATATTTATAATAGTAGAAATAAATGAATAACTTACTATCTATGTTATGAAATATATTTTTAAATAAAGAATTTAGTTAGTTTAATATATGTGAATATTATATATATACGAATATATAATAATTGAATTAAATGAATAACTTACTCCCTATATTGTTAAATAAAGAATTTAGTTAGTTTAAATTATAGGTAAATATTGTATAAATACGTAATACGAATAACTTACTTCCTATTTATTAAATAATTATTTAAATAAAGCATTTAGTCTTGAAATATTATATAAATATGTAATAATTGAATTAAATGAATAACTTACTCCCTATATTATTGAATAATTTTTTAAATAAAGAATTTAGTTTAAGTTATATGAAATTATCACATATTGTAATAATAAGAATAAATAAATAACTTACTCCCTATATATATTATTAAATAATTTTTAAATAAAGAATTTAGTCAGTTTAAATTATATACGAATATAATATAAATATGTAATAATAAAATTAAATAAATAACTTACAAACTGTATTATTAAATAGTTTTTTAAATAATGAATTTAGTTGTTAAATTATATGTAAATATTATATAAATATGTAAAATTATTATAATTTACCAACTAAAAGAAATTACAAAATAATTTTTAAAAAAATGAATTTAGTTAGTTAAAATTAGATGTAAATATTATATAAACAGAATTAAATAAATAGCTTACATTCTATATTATTAAATAATTTTTTAATAAGAAATTAGTTAATTTAAATTATATGTGAGTACCATGCAATTAATACAAACATATAATAACAAAATTAAATGAATAACTTACTCCCTATATTATTGAATAATTTTTTAAATAAAGAATTTAGTTAGTTTAAATTATATTTTGATGTTATATAAATATGTAATAATCGAAATAAATAATTAACTTACTCCCTACTATATGGAATTCATATAACTTCAAAAAAAAATTGTCAGATAAAATAAAAAATAAGGACGTATTTTATTAACAAACACTTTATATTTGAAATTTATTATATATAACAGAAAAATTCTATAGATTATAGATAAATACTTTCGGATAAATTAACTAATAACAAGACTGTGTAACGATTGAATACTAACTTGATTTATAAATTCTTGACTCATATTATGAGAATTATCTAAACGTTTCAATATAACCTTAATCGGACCATTACGGGACCATACTTCAGCTTCTTCGTCCAGATTCCACCGTGGACCTTTCATCCATATGTCAGAATATATTAAGCTGAAAGCGCCTCGTTTATTAGTATTTTGTACTAAATCAAGTTGGTCGAAATCAATCCATTCGAGATAGTCCATATTCTCATTGGCGGTTAATTGAGTGTATTTAATAAATTCATCTACATTAGAATTTCCGCTGGTCCAATTTCGGAAATTTTTTTTCAAAGTTGCAATATCACAAGTTTTACACGCTGGCGCAGTTCGTTGTCGGTTGCAATCTAGACAGTTGCCATATGATAAGCGTAATTCCATATAAATTTGCATTTTATTTTTATTAAAAAAAAATTGGTGTTTTATAAATATAATAAATTCGTGATCCGTTTCCAAACCACTAAAATCTACTATACATTTCAGTGAATTAATTAGCAGGGAATTTAGATAAAAACAATAGATATAGCATGCAGGAAATGTGATATGAACTCACAAAATTATAGAAAAAGGCAGTTTAGAAGAAACTGAAATTCCAAAAGTATCCACCATACAAAATTGGATATGTAACTACTCAATATAAGTAAAATATTTCACAACAAGCTAGACAGTCTTTGATGAATAATTTATTTATTTTTTTTCTTATTTTTATTTTATTTTTTTTTTGTTTATATCTTTTAAACAAATTATTTGCCAGCGTATAAATAATATTTTAATAAAAAAAAGTGATTATCATACTTCTTATAATTGAATAATATAGTGTTTTTGAAGGCCAAAATTCAGCGTCACTAAAGAAAAAAAAGTTTTAACTAATCATACAATATAAAAAACCTTTAAGTTTCTTAATTGGTTACACTATTTTTCAGCCGACTTGTAATACAAATTTGGCTAGTTACTTTTTAGGCAATATCACCAATTTGTATAACATCTTAGCTTTAAATGGCAAGTATATGTCGATCAAACTTACTTCGGAACGTTATTTTAAAAAAAAAATTCTGAGCAAATTAACAAGTCTCAAAAGCCATATAAGGAATAATTAATTTGCAAAAATAATTCCCAAATGTATTAATAGTTTTACTTGTTCGGAGATGGATCATGAATTAATAATCAAAAAATATACAATACATTAACTTGAAAATCAACATTTGTTGTTCTTTCTGAAATGAGTAATCATTAAATAACACCTACATGACTTTTGCCAACCCGAATTTCCAAGAACTGTGGTGGGGAACAAAGGAGCTGACAGATCATTTTAGAGATGTTGATATCAAAGGTTTTAATATATAAAAGGCACTTGGGATTTCTTGTGATAGTAAGAATACTAGAGCAAATAAATAACACAATATCAAACTAAACTGCAAATATGGATAAATCTGGAATAAAAATATGGTCTTTTCCATTTCACCATAGATTAATCTATAATCCATCCAGATTTATCCATATTTTAACCAGATCTATTGCCTGTAGTTCTGACCAGAAAACTGGGATTAATTTTTAAATGATTGTAATAAATCAATTTTTTTATATAAAGTATATACGAAAATAATCCTGTTACAACACTCTTTAATTACTGAATTGATAATTAACAAAAATTTCAATTTAAAAATAGTAAACAATGATTTTTTCTTAAAATCGTTATGACAAATAATATAAATATGAAAATTAAATTTTTTATACAAATATATATTAAATTCCTGGTATATAACCCTTAAAGCATGATTGGAATTTTATGATTCAAAAAAAAAAATTGCACAATCAATTCAACCAAGATCGATATATTATTTAATTTATTTAAAAAATATATTTACATTTAAAAAAAAAAAAATAGTTGATAATTATTGGGGCTCCAAATATGAGCCAAATGCAATTAATAATCTTGAATTTCTACGATTCGATTTCCAACCTTGTTCTATTGTAGGCTCAACAATGATTTTACAAAGAGGACAATGAATAGCGTCATTTTGAATAGCTATACAAGATTGTTTTGCCATGTGTTCAAGGTATTCATCAACCTCCATAACTTCACGACAGCAAGGACATTGTTTAACAAATTTACTAATCATTCAACATGAGTGGAAATTTCAAAAATCTATAAAATAAATTATTAGTTAAGTCTTAAACCTAAAAGTTGATTTTTCATTTCAACTTACCATATTACATAAATGACAGTTGATCAATACAGGACAGTCGGACCAATAATGAGAAACCAAATTATCTTCAGTGAAATAATCATTGTGTTCATCACATATACATATTAGAAATACATTGTTTTATATTATATATTATATATTATTCAAATAAAAAAGAGTTATGTTTAAAAATTCATAATTAATATTATAAATAATACTTACTTACTTTTTGATTGTATTTTTATTTTTACAAGCGTAAGAGTTTTTTTCTGATTATGTAAGCTTGTATAAGTTTTGATATTAGGAAATTGATTAACCAAATTATGATATATTGTAGCAAATAATAAAATTATATTGATAAGCTTGTTGCAATATATATCAAATTAATGTTGTAATTATTTACGATATGGTGTTTAAATATTTGTTAAATAATAATAGCAGACATATCGTTAAAAATATAAAATATGGTTATAATAAGGTTATTATATGGTTGTCAAAAAAAACCAATATTGTTAGTAAAGAAATTTATATTTTGAAAAAGTAATGATCTTTTATCGAATAATGTTACTTACCTATTCCGTCCTCTAAGGCCTATAAAAAAAATAAATTTGATACTAAACATGTATTTAGCTACCTGACGCACAATATTAATCAAAATCTCGGACAAGTGTTTCATAAGAAAATCGCCATAGGTCACGAAATCCAAAATCACTTATATACTACTAGCTAGGAATTATGATATTGTGAATATAAAATATTTCTTGTGTAAAATCTCGATGAATTGAAAACATCAATGCACCTATCATGAATTTTATAAAGTGACTCAATTATTATGTCATAAGCTATAGTTTTATGCTTGATATAAGTTAATAGAAATGTAATTTTGTAAATAAATTTAAAGCATGCACCTATCAAACAAACTTAATTTCTATTTTCTCACTTTTGAGCATTACTTCATATGTTCCTGAATCCTGATCTTCCCAATTATTGCTCTTTATTATGGCAAGCCGAGCTGGACTAAACTATCAGGCATTGGGCGGGTGAAAAATCAAGCATGGATTGACAAAATGTTACACTGTGCCTGACATTTTACCTGTTTATGCTTGATATTCATCTGTCCGTGCTTGATATTTATCTGTACGTGTTTGATATTTTTATCTGTTCATGCTTGATGTTTATCTATCACGTGCTTGATATTTTTATCTGTTCATGCTTGATGTTTATCTGT